TTTTTTTTTTAATTAATTTTATTTTAATTTACAAGCATGTATACTAGATTAAAAAAATATCAACTGCTACAACTAATTAATTTAATAATAACAATAAATATTATTACTGATAACTTTTTTATCAATTTATATATTATAAAAAAAGAATCATTTAATCACAAAAAAAATAAATTCAGTTAAAAATAATTAATTAAATACCACAGTTGTGTGAAAAAAAATTACTCCAAAATTATTAGGCATCATTCCTATAATATTATGGGAATGGTTTCTATAATATTATGGAAACTATTCCTATATATAATGGGAACCATTCCTATAATTATTGGAACCATTCCCATAATTATAGTAACATTTCCCAAAAATTATGGGTACAATTCCCATAATTTAAGTAGTCGCTCCCAAAATGGTATAGGAAAATATTTCATTAAAATTATAGGAATGATTTCCACATTTTTCTCTCCGTGTACAATATTGGACAGCTGGCCTATGATTGATGACGAGTAGGCGTTGTCAACTGAGTACATACTTATTATATATTCTAAAAAGCCAATCTTTTTATGAGAAATTTTGTCACAGGCTCGGGTACTAATACCCAAGAAAAATGATTGCCGATAAGTCATAATTTATTATTTTAATGAACCATAGCTGGACGATAGACGGAAATTGACAACCAGCAGGCGCCTAGATATTTTTAATTAACCAGAGAAGGAAGTACGAATCGTTTAATTTGCGACAACTTCCTTTTATTTTTACTAGGCAATTTTTTTATGTCGTTGTAAAAATAAAGTATGCTAAATGTTTAACTGTAGTTGAAATATTAGTTCATTTCTTGGACTCAAAATAAATCCCGCTTCTTTCGTTCTTGTTTAGAGCTTTTAATTAAGTGTTTATTGCTAGAATTATAAAAAATTGATAATAATAAAAAATGTATCTCGGCCCCTGGAGATACGCTCCAAGTATCGTTCGGTGGTCTCCCAAACAGTTAAATTGTCGATGACATTTCCCTTCCGGCGGCCCTGATTCGGAGAATTATCTTCTTGTTCTGCTCTTCTTTCTCTTTCTTTGGATGGATTTGCTGGTGTAAGCGGTAATATTTTTTTAATTATTTTATAAAGTTCATTTTAAAATATCTGGATATTCAAAACTTTATAAAAATAATATCCAATTTAAAAAAGTGGTTTTTAAATTAAAATTTTTGTTTTTTCAATTTGCCTGTTTAGAAATTTTTGGTAAATATTTACAAGTGGGATCAATCATTTTGATTTTCATTTTTTTTGAACGAAATTTCTATTTGATTTAATTGATATATTTTTTTAATACATAAAAAATGAACAATTTAAATAAAAACAATTAAAAAAATTTTTATAATTATAAATTTTTCAGAAAATTGTTATATTCAATTTTTTTTTTTTTAATTGTTCAATTTTTTTGTACTTTTCAAAAAAAAATATATATCAAAAAAAGATAAAACAGAAATTTTATCCAAAAACATAAGAGCCAAAATTTTTCCCAACTTTTGAAAGCAAAAAAGCTATCGAAATTTTTTTTTTCTTTCACCACATTTTTTATCATAAATGTGCCGTAAAAACAAGCAGAATAAAAAAAAATTTGTAAATGTTAATTTTTTACCTAATTATGGCCTAAAATGGAATTAATTAAATTTTATATATTTTATTAACATTAAATTTTTATATATTTTAGATGTATATTATTCGGAAACAATGGAAATTTTTTACAAAATTTATTATTGAAAAAATTGACAGTTTTTTTTTTTTTAATAAATTGCAAAAAATTAAGTATTAATTAAAAAAAATTTTTTTTAATAAATTTTCATGAGAATTTTCGATAAAATAACACTTTTTAAAGTGGAGTAAAAAAAAATCTCTTTAGAAAAATTTTTTTTCCATTAAGTAATACCTCTTTTCACAATAAAATCAACACTTAATTTTTTTAATCCCCCTAATGCATAGAATCTCCATAGAAATCAGTAAAACCACAATTTATAGTTTGTTTTTTCCTGTTAAAATTTTTCCTACTATATTTTTTCCTCATCTAAATCCACAGATAAAAATGTTTGTATGTATGTATAATAAACATAAAATCCAAACGACGAGAATGATGAACGTAGACGTTTGGTAAACCCGAGAAATGAATGATTATTATGACTGTAACGTCTTTAAGGGTGAGTATGTGTTGCTGCAACAAGTATACGATGGATTGCCGAGTGTTGTCAAGCTGCAGCTGTTGAGTAGTACGAGTACGAGGTAGAATCCGGTTCACATAACACGACTTAGACCGTCCCAGTACAGTCCCATCATCATACAACATTATTTATATTTATACATATAATACATATAGTTAACGTTTGATTGTGTCTTCATATTCAGTCTTCTTCCGACTCCGGCTCCCATTAATACATACAGCGATCTTCGCGCCTTCATATTCAGAGTATAACTACTTACTGTTTTTTGTCCTCATCTTACGGACCATCTACAAATCCCACTTCCCACAATCTTATTCATAATACTCGTGATATGTTTATACCCACACCATTATTAATGTACGTCTCAGTTAACTAATCCTCTGGCTTTGACTGGATCAACTATTTGAATTTGAAAATGAGGAATAGACCACTGTACTTGTTATAATAATAAGACTGACTGAAGAAAAAAAAATAAAAATAAAAAAAAAAAAAGAATACTTTAAAATTTACAAAGATAACATTAGCAAACAGTGTTGCGAGCTGAAAAACACTGGCTTCATTCATTCATTACTATACTCAACTGACCCACATTCGCGGAATTGATCCTCCCTGCAAGTTGTCTGTTATACACTAGTATTATATACACCATGTATTTGGTTTTATTTTTTATCCTTTATAGCTCCTGGAGCTCTCAAGTTGCCGAAAGATCGCAGACTCCTCTGGATCCTAGTTTGAAGTTACCGACACCAGGCGTCAAGTATCCAGATTAGTTTGTGGTATTTATCAAGCTTTTAACGCTTATTTAATATTATCTACAAAAATCAATATTTTATCATTTATCACCAGCGACCTTGTAGTCACTGTGTGACTGCTATGACTTGTGAACTATAAATAAATAAAACTTGCTATTAAATAATGATTTTTGTTAAATTGCACTGTACTTTCTTAAATATCGACGTTTTTAAAGATATAAGCTCATCCCGATGTTATACTCATCAAGAGCTTTCATTTGAGTACCCACATGTATTTTGATATATTTTTCATATATATACATATATATATATATAAATATATGAAAAAATTATGTGGGTACTCAAATGAAAGTTCTTGATGAGAGTGACATCAGAATGAGCTCATACCTTTAAAAATGTCAATAATTAAGAAATTATATGGAATTTTGTCAACTTATGATATTTTTAAAGATATAAGCTCATCCCGATGTTACACTCATCAAGAGCTTTCATTTGAGTACCCACATGCATTTTTGATATATTTTTCATATATACATATATATAATATATATAAATATATGAAAAATTGATGTGGGTACTCAAATGAAAGGTCTTGATGAGTGTAACATCAGGATGAGCTTATATCTTTAAAAATGTCAATAATTAAGAAATTATATGGTATTTTGTCAACTTATGATATTTTTAAAGATATAAGCTCATCCCGATGTCACACTCATCAAGAGCTCTCATTTGAGTACCCACATGGCATTTTTCATATATTTTATATATATGGTATTTGTGAAATATATAAATATATAAAATATATGAAAAATTGATGTGGGTACTCAAATGAAAGGTCTCGATGAGTGTAACATCGGGATGAGCTTATATCTTTAAAAATGTCAATATTTCACAAGATACAAGGTCATTTCTCAATTGTGTATCTAGAGATAGACCATATATAAATTGACTATCAGTGAGAATGAAATGAAACCTTGAAAAGGCACAAACTCAAATCAAAATCTTTGCAATGACATTAAATTTCGCTAAAAAAACCGATTTTATCTTATGACTATCCTGGACACAAAATTTTTCATATTCTCTTAATAATATAGATTATTCATTACAATAAATAATAATAATAATTTAAAAAAATTGAAAAAAAAAACTTACCATGACATAAATTTTTTGCTTACTGCAGTTTTGTTATTTATTTTTGTTTAAAAAAAAGTCCCCTTGAAAGACTATGATGATTTTTAATTCTCATGGGAACATCAGACGAAATTTTTTTGCAGTTATAATATCTTGAGACAAAAATAGTTACTGAGAGTCGAGATAAAGAAGGAGAGGGAGCGAGTTAGGAGGTAGATGTCAGTATAGTAAAGAGGAAAAAGGAAGTTGAACAAGTTAAAGAAGAAATAGCGTGACGACGTGACGGAACGACAAACCACTATACACCGTCATGCATGCTGCTGATGCTGACTTTTCTCATCTTGTATTCTTCTGTATACTCTTGTTAATTCTCTTACTTTTGCCGACGACATACGAGCAATACAAGTGAGATTACTGTTGATGTTACTGCTCGTTTTTTCGTGGCTTTACGTATACACATCACGATGTGATACTGACAGGCTTCTTGACAGCCGTGCACCGACGTATGCAAACTTATGTGGATATTTTATACTTTGTAAATGTGATACTGAGCTAAGCCGCTAGGTACATCTTTAGGCAAAGTAACGAATGACAAGGAACTTCCACTAGTATTTTGAGATCTTTTACAGTGAAAAAAAATTTATCTCTAAATACTTTTTTTTTTTTATTATTTTTATTCATAAGTTACAAAATTATTTTTAAGTATCATAATGTCATGGTTGATGTTCCTTAAGCTTTATACCAATAAATATCATTTAAAAAATTATTATACAATTGCTTAATAAATAAAATTATCACATAGACCATAAAAAAAGACTTCAAAAAAACTAAGCTAATTTTCTTCGATTTAAATATAAATATTAACTACATAACATTACTCTAAAAAATATCAACCGCAGTCACGCGTGATAATTTTAATCTCCTAAAGTAGACGAACCTTGACTGTGGCGACTGCAAAAATGTCGACCTTGCTGCGCACGAGATCGGCATTTAGCGCCAGATTTAGTGTAAGCTGAGCATAACACTTTCGCAGATGACATTGCAGAGGGTGAAATACTAAAAAATATATACGATTAAAATTACTATTACTTATCATTTTTTTATTGAAAATAAACCTGATAAATTACCTGCGGGATGCTGATGATCGAGTAGAGTAAGTACTGCCAGGAGTAAGACGCTCCTTATCATTCCAGCGAAGCCTCAGATCAGCGGTATCGACGATATTCTCATTAATGAAGGAGCGATCTAAGAAGTCACTGTCATCTTCTGATACAGATGGAAACTCATTGCCATAATCATCAATGAGATCTTCGCGGCTTTTTTTCGAAGGCAAGTATGAACAGGAGAGCTCTTCCATGGGTAAATTATTCCTTGCAAACCATACGGTCATATATTGCCACATATTCATTATATTGCCTACAATTAATCAACGAAATTACATAATAAGACTGTTGAGATTAGAGGTAATATAAAGTAGTACCTTTGCAGCGTAATAATTGATTTGCGATCAATTTATAAACGTCTTTCAGAGTATTTGATAAACGAGTAGTGAGAGGAGTTTTAAAAATTTTTTGTTCAGAAGTCGTCGGTGGTTTTGGTGGCTGTCGCGATAAATCACCATTAGGTGTATCAGTAAAATAATGAGATAATTTTTCTACTCGTGGTTTTTTATCTCGGCTGACTCCAAAGAGAGCATGAATACCAACCATAATAAAATGCACTGAAATAGATTAAATTGATTACACTCACTGAAAATTTTCTTACAAATAAATAACACGACAAAATACTTACTTGTAGTTATTAAAAGTATCAACATAGTTAGAGAAGTAAAATCTAGACACGCATTCATTCCATGTTTTAAAAATGTCACTAAATTCATCGGAATCAACCCCATTATTGACGCTCTCGTCAAAAACGGTGCATTTAAAAATGCTGCTATTATCATAGCTCCAAGTAAAAAAATAATGTGCATTGATATTTGATAAACTTTTTGCAACTGTTCGCCTGAAAATTAAGACATTGACTAGACGTTTATTAATCGAGTAAATAAAAATAGATATTAATAAAAACATACCAGTGTTCCCAATGTAATCAGTGATCCAACTTAATTTGTCTTCAACTTCCGTACGCATTGACTCAGTCACATTCCAAATGAAATGGATAGTATCATTAATCTTTTCTAATTTCTCAAGAGTTTGTTCAAAATGTGCAGCTGCCTCGGCATTCTGTTGCACGATGCGATTTGTACTTGATTCTATTTTTTCCCAGATTAATTGAGCTTGTTGCTGAATATTTTCCAAATCTTCCAACAATTCCTTGTGATTTTCTTTGCGCTCTGACGACTGAGACAGCAGCTGTTCACTTGCTTTTTCTATTAAAAGAATCATAATTATAATTTAAAATAACACAAAAAATTCACATTCATTTATTCACTTTACCTAATTTATTTTTTATATCTTCAGTCATTGTTGCTAATTGTGCGTGACCAGAGCGTATCAAAGCTTTTTCATTAGTTAATTCACGAATATTATTAGCTACAAATTTATGAGACAAAACCTGAGCATTTTTTAGAAACTCTTGTTGTTCCAATAATAGTTTATTTCCTTGAGTCAATGATGATAGAGCTTCAAGTGTTTTATCTTCCAAACGATCGTGGCTTTCCTAATTAATAAATATTATTTAAGATTTAATAAAAAAAAAAAAAAAAAACAACTCTTTTAAGAAACTCGCAACATAAATGGCTCGTTAGTAAATCGGTAATTTAAATTTGTCCTTTTTAATGTTCAGTGGGGGGGGGGGGTGCGTCTTTTTTTTACAGAATGGAGGTAGGGTCTGACGTAAGTCTTAAGATAGCTGATAATTTATAGATCAGCACTTAAGATACTCGATAAGCAAACTGTTAGTCAGCAGGGGTAAATGTTTCTTGCATTAGTAAAAAGTAATGAGTAATGAGTAAGTAAAAAATAATTTACCTTCAAAGTAACCAAAGCTTCAACTTGAGACCGAGCACTCTGCATCAATTTATTTACGGTCAACTCAGTAAGTGCACGAAATTGTGTGCTACGTGCTGTGTAACATACAGCTCTTGCACGATTGCTCATTAAATGATAAGCATTCCACATATCGGCGTCCATATCGGTGGTGCATTGTTTCAAAGACTGAAACACAATACATTATTGATTTTAAAAAATTTCAAATAATTTATTCCGGTAAAATTATTGAATTTAATAGTAAAAGAGTAATAGCTTTGCATCAGCATTTTTAAAAAGTAAAAAACTAGCTTAGGCCCGAATTCTTTGAGGGGGTCTTATATTTCTACCAATCAGAGTGAGTATATATATACAAGTTCAAACATGCATGGTTCACCCCTCCAATTCGCTAGTAAATGATTTTTTTTTTTCACATTTACGTCTCCAAGCGTACTCGCGACATATTCTCAGTATTTTTATATCCTTCCTATTAAATCAGTTTAATAATTACAAGAAAATTGTGAGTGTAATACTGAAGATAGAAGACACTTGGTCATTTTTTTAATTTTTTAATTTAATTAAAAATTAAAAAGAGTCATGAAGAATTGCAAGTATAAGGTTTTTTAAATTTGTATTAAATTTTTAATTTTTTTTTACTTGTGCAACGCATTTTTATAAAATTTGAAAAATTGTTAAGTGTAATATTTTTATTAATAATTAAAAACTACCGCAAAGTTAAATTAATTATATACCGGCATTATTAATAAATAAATAATTTTTTTTTACCATTTCCTCGGTACAAGGGAAAATTTTACGTCCTTCAACACTTGACTGACAATTAAGTAAATTAACGCTCAGCTTAGCTAACTCTTCTTCAGTCATATCACTGCAAGAAGTTCTTATCTTCATGACAACTTTGTGCTGACAAGTTTGCAATGGAGACGACAATTGTATGTCTGTTATTTTTGCCGCTTCTTGGAGAAACTTTTCATCATCTGTCATAGCTTCATAAGGTATTGATACTAGAGGAACACCATCAGCTACAAGTACATTGGTGTTATCAGATTTTTCCCAAAACCAACTCAACAATGATGTCCCACTGACACAGGTTAATATTAATGGAAAAATTATCACTAGCTGCTTCATTATTTATTTGATGATTTATATTAACTCCTGAGTAAAAATATTTCTGAAATAATAATTTAATCATTTATATGACACTGAAATCAGCAGACGTCCAACAACATTTTGATTTTTTTTTATTGATAAAATTAAGACTGAAAAAATATTTTTTTAAAATTGCACTTATAGTTTTTCAAAGCTTTTACATGTGGAATTTCTTTTTAAATTTTTTCAATAAAAAAAATCACAAAAATTGTCAGATGTTTGCTTATTTCAGTGTCATTTATTTATGTAGAAATACATGCGGTTATTTAGAAAAAATCTATAATTATGTCAGAGTTTTTTTAGTTAATACGTAATAAGTAATATAAGAATTAAAAATAGATATTAATAAGTATGATGAAAATCTAAAGTACTTAACCAATATAACTTGACGTGTTACTTACGATTAAATATTTATGAATGACAAAAAAAAGTACATATGATTTCTCTTATACTATTGAGTAATATCGATTTAGTTCTTTTTTTAATTCAAGTCTATTGTCATTTTCTTACGTATATATTAAACAGTCATTAAAATTTTTTTCGGAGTTGATTCCTGTTTACAAACGTTTATAACGGCTTGATTTTTGAAGGTCGGTTGCTGAAAAACCAGCCAATCAAAGTAAATATAAATATCAGGTTAGGTTCAAGTCTTCTACCAATCATTAAACGTCATTTGTCATCCACTCCGCATGCGCAAGTTTCTCCGCGTGTATTTAAACTTTTTTTTTTATCAACAAGAAAAACTGGATACTTTTGCGGGTTTTTGTTTGACGATTTGATTAATTTATGATTATGCATATTAATAAAATTATTAAGTAAATAAAAAATTAATTTATTAATACCTATATTATACATTTATTTTTTTTTCTGGAACAACTTCACTGATACCATACATTCCAGCAAGTAATCTTCCATGCGAAATTGATACAGGTTCCTTTGGTGGAAGATAAGGTCCTTTTTCACCCATATATACATATCTGATTTTATGTTAAAGAAATATTTCATATTTTTTATTATAAAATGGAAATTAATTTATCAGACATTTATTAATTTTTTTAATAAATAAATTATAGAAAAAAAATTAAAAAAACAAAAATTGACATGTAGAATTTTGGAACAAATTTGTTTGTTAAAAAAAAATTAAAAAATTCTCAAGTGACTGCTAACTTTAATGTCATTATTATAAATGATTTTTTATAATTCTAAAGTTAGCCGATGTTTCTAATTTTTTTATTTTTCTCCATTTATTAAATTGGAACAAAAAAATATTTTTTAAAAATTGCACCTAAAGTTTTTCAAGTTTTTTACAAATGAAATTTTTTTTCTTATTTTTTTGTAATAGTTTTTTTAATAAAATAAACACTAAAAATTTTTAAATGTCGGCTCACTAAATTTTCATTGATTTTTTTATGAAAAAAATGTGAAATTGAAGTAGAAAGTTGAAAGAATTATTTTATGACACTAAAGTTAACTAACAATAAAATTATTGTAAAAAAAAAAATTTAATAAAAAAATTCCACATGTAAAAAATAAAAAAAATTACAAGTGGAAATTTTTTAAATTATTTTTTTTTTATTTTAATTGATTTGTTAAAAAAATTTAGAAAATTGACTTTTGTCAGTTAAATTCATTATCATGTAATTTTTATGACTTGAATAATTACATAAAAAGGATACGGTAGTCGCAAAACCCAATAAGCGCTTTGTGATAATTTAATTGGCTCTTCATTCCCAGAAACAAAGATGGGACACGGTGGTGGTCCTGGTTGTACTTTAGGATTAAGTGTAACGTGAACAGGAGCTTTGGGTGTCACAACATGGATCCTCATTAACTGAGCAATTAATGGTTTTGGTTGCCTAAATATAAAAATAACTGTACAGTAAAAGTTGAATAAAAAATGATTCAATTTAAAAATATTAATAAATAAAAACAAACCTGCAAGGGCAAGGAAAGTACAGTGGCATATCAGCAGTGTTTGATGTCACTTTATTCCCACTGTCTTTAACAATTCCACTTCCAGTGGCTTTGAGAACTTTATCAGGAGCAGAAGCCATAAAACGGTGGCCTCGAGGACACTCGTACTCAACACCCACAAAAATTTTAACAACAAATTCCTTTCCACCCTTCGATTTTCTGCACTTCAGTGCATTAATATTCTGATAATTTTTTCCACGACTATTATAATTATGTGAGGAATGATTATCTCCAACCATGGGCCAAAAAGAACCTTTGTCTTTTTGGTGCTCCAGTCTGACTGTCACGTCCCAGGGTAACAAAAATGCTGAAGTAGGCAACATACCGGCTTGGTGCTGAAGACCAAGATTGTGCGAGTACAAACTGCTGGGGCCTAAGCATACCAGCGACCAGCTTGAAAATTGTGGTAAGAGACCAGCAGGTGATTCAGTATGCAGCATTCCTGGTAAATATTCTGTTGTTGATGGTTGTCTTACTAATGATTTTTCTAAAAAAAAAAAAAAAAAAAAAAAAAAAAAAAAACAAACATACTTAAATACTTAATCATTAACATAAAATTTGTATTTTTTTTACCTTTAGTATTTTCTAAATCGGCGTCAGAAACTCGGATCACAATTTTATCAGCTTCACTTTGAGAAAGATTTGTTTTATCATCAAGGCCTCGAGCCTCTTCACCCTCAGAATCACTTTGTAATTGCAATTGCCCGCCACTTTCATACCCTTCAATATTATCTGTTAATAAATAAAATAATTATGTTTTAAAAATTGTAATCAGAAATTTTATAAAAAATAATCATTCATTAAATAAATGAAATAACTTTCAATACCACGTAAAGGACTGTCTGCTGAACCGCATGCGAGTGTTTGATTTTCCGAAGTTGGAATGTCAACTCGACTACATGAATCTTTCCTAGGGCCACCTGAAAAAAGTTGCGCTGGCCTGAAACATCAATAAAATTAATTATTTTCATTTTATTTATTTTACAAACAACTAATTTATATTATTAAGAGAATAAGAAAAATTTTGTATCCAGGATAGTCATATGATAAAATCGTTTTTTTTTTTTTAGTGAAATTTAGTGTCATTGCAAAGGTCTTGACTTGAATTTGTGCCTTTTCAAGGTTTCATTTCATTCTCACTGATAGTCAATTTATTATGATGAGTATTTAGGCTGCATTCGAAAATGCTCTATCTCTAGATACATAATTGAGAAATGACCTTGTATCTTGTGAAATGTTGACATTTTTAAAGATATAAGCTCATCCCGATGTTACACTCATCAAGACCTTTTATTTGAGTACCCACATGCATTTTTGATATATTTTTCATACATAGATATATATAATATATATAAATATATGAAAAAATTGATGTGAGTACTCAAATGAAAGGTCTCGATGAGTGTAACATCGGGATGAGCTTATATCTTTAAAAACATCAATAGTTAAGAAAATACAGGACATTTTAACAAATATCTTGTGAACTATTGACATTTTTAAAGATATAAGTTCACCCCGACATTACAATCATCGAGACCTTTCATTTGAGTACCCACATCAATATTTCATATATACATATGTAATATATATAAATATATGAAAAATTGATGTGGGTACTCAAATGAAAGCTCTCGATGAGTGTAACATCGGGATGAGCTTATATCTTTAAAAACGTCAATATTTAAGAAAGTACAGTGCAATTTAACAAAAGTCATTATTTAATAGAGTAAAATTTTAATTATTTATAATTCACAAGTCACGGCAGTCACAAAGTGACTGCAAGGTTGCTAGTAGAATAATTAAAAAAATAAATAACTACCTAAAGTTATGTGTACTAGGTTGAAAGACAGGAAATTCAATGCTCTCTAACTGCGTACAGCCGCACTGTTTCGCCATCAATTGAAACCATTCATAATTAGCATGTCGTAAACTGAACGGGTCTTCTCTTGGTCCTTGACATTGCCCGCAATTGCAAGCACAAACATATCTAACACCACTGCAGTGCTCTAAAATTGGCAAATCATTGTCAATCTCACGAACATCAGCAAGTTCGCTACCACCACCCTCACTTCCGCCTCTATGAAGTCGATTAGTACATGGATTACCAGTTAGCGATAAAACTTCACACATTTGTCGGCCAGCCCGCCAATGTTTGTCGCACTCCATCTGTAACTTTTCGCTAAATTCATCATAGAGTGGACCTCGTGCATGCATCTCAAAGACAGTCATCGCGTGAGCCAACTTTGTTTCATGATAAACACGGCCATAGTGTTGTGGCAAATTTTCCTGATAAGTTTGCAGCGCACGTGGCAATACCTTATTGCATTTGCTCTTGCTAAATTTAACGTCTGTATTGAGCAAGCCGTGTAAAATTAAAAGATCTTTGTCAGTGCTTAGCATAAAAAATTTGTAAACCGCATTAGCGACTTTGAAGAACACCGGAGCTGATGGTATTTCAAAATACGAAGGGACTGGATGACGACCAACTTTACTGTTGTCATCAAACCCTTTGCTGAATGCCAGATGTACGTGCTGAAGTAAAAATGATTTGAACGATCGTAACTCATTATTTTTTTCTAGACTAAAATTTGGCTCGTTTTTGTTGTTATTATTATTGTTTTTGGATCCATTTGAACTGACTTTGCAACTCTCTATTAATTTTCGCATCATGTACCCATACATGTCGCGAGACTCCGTGGATCCGGTGTGGATGTATACAAATTCTTGATTAGCTGGAATAGCAAAGAGACAATAAGAACTGATGTTATGGACCACATGGTTTTCTTTTAGTATATGGTAGATTTGATCTTCCAGTGAATGCTCGAGCTGCTTTATGTTTGGCAAATTTTCTGCTGTTTGCTTGAGCTCAGCTGGTCCAGTCTCGAAGTAAAATAATACACGTGGAGGGCAGGGTCTGCAATTAGTTATCCAGTTTTTTGGTAATCCAGATATGGTACCAAGTACACTTGATAATTGTGTTGATACTTTTTGTCTGAAAAATATTTATTGTAAAACTATTAAAAAATATTCTTTAAATAATCTTTACTCTGAGTGATAAACTTTTACTCAGTTAATAATGATAAATAAAATTCAAGTTAAAAAAAAATAAAGATGAAAGTGTTACGTCATATTTTTTTAACGTAATCACGCATATGTTTGCGTGGAATAAGAATTATTTTAAGAAAATAAGAACAGTTTTTTAAGTGTATACAAAGATAATAAAAATATAAAATTTGTATTGGAATTTATGAAATTATTTCAATAAGCTGGATTGTAATAAAATTTTTTTTTTTAACTTGGAAAACTTTAAGTAAGTGAAATAAACTTAAATGCAACAATTTTCAATAAATTGTATTAAACTTAAAGAAATTTATAAATTTAATTAATTAAGTATAAAATTAAAGGCTGATTTTGTAATAATAATGACAATTACCTGATTTTATCAAGAGCTCGGAATAAATGTAAGTAACTGTAGTCAAATGTATGAGTTGGATGACTAACAATAACTATGTGTGATATGTGAAAAAGAACTAACATAGCTTTGGCATATTTTTCCCTCATACAAGCCCAAGCACTCAAAAAATCCTTGCATCCTAATTTTTCTATAACACTGTCATATTGTGACACCAAAGTTTGACTGTCCAGTAGTCCTCTCAAGTGTAAATAAATTACTCGTTCTTTCTCATCATGATAGCCTTCAATTTCAGACTAAAAATAGAATATTTAATTAAGATAATTAAAAAAAAATTTATTTTTTATACATACCATTGTTTCATCGTTGACAACAGGGTGATCAAGAAGATCTACCAAAAGATTGGTACTTATCATCTCTGACTTGCATCCTTTTGCACGGTATTGTGATTTTCCAATTATAGAAACGATTACCACTTTTCCGGAGCTCGCTGGAGGTTCTTCTTGATTACAAGGTATTGAAAAAATTTTTGGACGCATTTTATTTTTTATTTATTTTACACTTTATTTACTTAATATTTAATATTTAATAAATGTTTGTTGTTTTAGGTTATTATATACTTGTCATTTACTCCACAAGCTTTTGAAAAATGAGAACGTAATGATAAAGTAAAAAATTTTTTTAGTTGCAGTCGGTATAGCAAAATTAATTTTATTTTTATGATTATATTTTATTTTAATTAGAAAATATGTAAATAGCAATTTTTCATCATTAATTGTAATCCTCAATTTTGTGAGTAAAAAATTAACATATTTATTCATTACAGTTTTTTAATTATTATTAATTCTGACTTAATATTCTAAAAACAATATTTGATATGTAATTAATTAATATTCTATTTCTAATATTCAATTTTTTTTTCCAGTTTTCCAAATTGAAACTTATTCCTCTGGACCCAAAATGTTTTTTTATGTGAAATTCTAAAATGAAGGTAAATGTTTATGATTAAAAGTGGAATGAATCATAAAAATCTTTTGAAAATGAAAAATGAGTGGATTTTTGAAGATATTTGGGCAACACTGGAAACAGCTCGGCTGAAAAAATATAAAATTTCAAAATTTAATAAATAAAATTAAAAATTTGGCTTACTCTAAACAGACATGTTATAAAAAGTAAATAACTATTGAAGTATACAGACTGAAGTTTAATCTTATAATTATTATTTTCAGGTATTTAGTACGTACTTTTTTTTTTAATGAGGAAAATGTAATAAGGGTTGGAAACAATAGAGCCAGAAAAGTAAAACTTAAATATTTAAGAATTTTCCACATGGCCTCCGTGGCGCAATGGGCTAGCGCGTTCGGCTGTTAACCGAAAGGTTGGTGGTTCGAGCCCACCCGGGGGCGGCTATTTTTTCTTCTTTTTGATTAAAAAATTGTAAATTTCATCTATGATACATAAAAAGTTCCTCTACCAGTTTAGTCGATTACGTACCTCACTCATTTCAATGAATAAAGATTTCATACTGTAGAGTTTATTATATATTACACTTTATGAATAAGTTTTATAAAATGTAAGAATATTGAACTAATATCAATCCAATGTAATTTTATTTATCTTCATTTTAAAAAAAACAAAATCACCCCTATTTTTGAGAAAAATTGTATCAAACTTTTGTAATTTTAATATGACCTTTTGTATAAGAATCATAAAATATTGTTAATAAATTAAATAAAAAAAAAATAATAAAGAAATTTAACTACAAGGCAAAATTTCAATTTTTTTTTACTATAAATTTAATGTTACACAACAAATTAATGTGAATTTTTTTATTGAAATTTGTCAGTATAAAAGATAATTATAAACGTGTAAAAAACGTTATTTTTTATCATATTAAATACAATGTGTATAATTATTTAAGTTTTTATAAATAGGCATCAGTATTATATGTGAATAATAAATTAAATTAAAGTTTTTTTTATATGAAACTATCAAAGGTTTAAACTCCATTTTCAAATGTATCACTAAATTTAACAAACATAATTAAGTTTTACTGTTTTATTATATATTAATCACTCGTGTTTACCTTGTTCTGATTCTCAATTTTAGTTTTTAAATTCTTGTGCAGTAATTGTGGACGATGAAAAATATTAATTAGAATCTTTGTACATTACTCGTGATAGAGCAATGTAATTAATTTTAGTGGTAAGATCATGGAATCCAACCGGACCTACTTCACAGTCAGCACATCCTAAATATTTTATTTGATCAACAGTGTGTGTGACGCTTATGTTTTCGAAATGAAACATGTCATCAACTTGCCAATAGTCTTTCAAATCTTCCACTTCAACAGATGACGGATCTGATGTTTCACTTTTAGATTGGTCATTCTTTTTCTTTATAATCAGTGGCAACGGAAACTGAAATTAAAAATTGGTAATTACTAAATACCAATTGCTAATTACTTATTAGTAAGTAAATTAATTAATGATATTGGAAATAGCAGATGCAAGAATATTTTATGATAAAAAAAACAATGTTTACCTCACGTGAAACGAATGTACCCGCTCTTGGATTTAAAATAATTGATGGACAAAATTGACAACATATTTTAGAATTATTTTTCCCAAGTTCATCACACTTGGATTCACGAATTCCTTCGATTGTTGATGTCATGTTTTTTACTGTTTAGTAAATTTGAAAAATTACTTGTTCGACGGTTATTGTAAATATAACCTCAAATTAATCCGAATAAATAAAAATAAAAAAATAAAATACTTCTACAAAACTTGAGTTGATAATTTTTAATTAATGATTAATTTTTTTTAATTGTTAAGTAAGTAAAAAAAATTGATTCATTTACTTAACTAAATGCTTTATTAAAACTTACACTGTTTAAAAATAAATACTCATACTCATGTTCATACAGGTATATAAATAAGAAGTGGAAACGAGAAAGCGCGCTTTTGTCAAGTGTATATATATACGATGAACTGTTAAATTTAATTGTACTGAAATTTTCGCACACATCTGATATTTTTTTGAAATTCTTTTTTCAAGTTAATTATAAGAGAAAAAATATTTTTTTTTTTAATTTCAAGATGTGGAATTTTTTCATTAAAATTTTTTTTTATTAAAACTCAATTGTTGATGGTTTTTTTTTCTAATGAAAATTTTTTGCTCACATAAAATAACAATACATTCAAAAACAATTATAAATTATAATTTTTACTTAAAAAAATAAAAAGAATTTAGTGCAAATAAATAAATGCACACAATTGTCTTCTATCCAAAAATAAAACACGGGTTTACAAATTGCATAAGTTATTTTAATAAAAAAAGAATCTGTTGTTTACATATCTATTTATAAATAAAAATTTTTTTCAACAACAATACTGTTAAAACTAGCCAAATTATTTGTCTTATCTTATACACACACATTCAACAAACTAATTCTAAGAGTATTTATATTAGGTAGATTTCATAGAAATCAATCTATTGCATTGGTCCTCATGTCGGAATTCACTCGGAATTTTGTCGTAATATCACTTAACTAGTCGAGTGAAGCTCAAAAATAACGTTAGTTAAAAAATTTATATATGTATGTACCTGCACTACACCTTGCCTGAAAATGGTTCAGTCAAACTCTTAACCTTGATAAAATAATTAAAAATGGTCAAAATGTCAATGTTATATATGTCAAATTAAAGGCAATTTCATGAGCTTTTACATGAATTAGCCATCAAAAATTAGCCATCTCTTTTCAACCAAAAGTTATACATTAATGAAGTCACCGAAAACGTGATTTTTACTATTTTGATAATTTTGAAGAGCTGGCATTTCTAAACTTATCGATGGATTTCGTTCATCTTCGAACTCATTCAAGGTTATTATCCAAAGACTATGTGTAACAAATTTCATCTAGATCCGTCAAGAACTGTAGACACAATCGCGGCAACATCCCGCGTTATATTACATATGCATATATATATATATATATATACATATGCAATATAACGCGGGGTGTTGCCGCGATTGTGTCTACAGTTCTTGTCGGATCTAGATGAAATTTGTTACACATATTCTTTGGATAATAACCTTGAATGAGTTCGAAGATGAGCGAAATCCATCGATAAAGATTTAGAAATGGCAGCTCTTCAAAATTATCAAAATAGTGAAAATCACGTTTTCGGTGACTTCATTAATGTATAACTTTTGGTTGAAATGAGATGGCTAATTTTTGATGAATTCATGTAAAAGCTCATGAAGTTGCCTTTAATTTGACGTATATAATAACATTGACATTTTGACCATTTTTAGTTATTTTATCAAGGTTAAGAGTTTGACTGAACCATTTTCAGGCAATGTGTAGTGCAGGCGACTTATGAATGTTATTCTGTCGAGAATTCGTAACAGATCCCAATGAAATTTAGTATACAAATTCATTTGACAATTAGCTTGTATGAGCCTTAAAATGAGCGAAATCCTTCGATTAGTTCAGAAATAGTAGCTCTTCAAAATGATCAAAATAGGAGAAATTACGTTTTCGCTGACTTCATTTAAGTATGTATAACTTTTAATAGCAAAAAGATAGCTCATTTTTGATAAATTTACTCGAAAACTCATAAAAATACTTCTTATTTGACGTATATAATGTTAACTTTTTGACCATTATTAGTTATTTTATCGAAGTTAAGAGTTCAATTGAACCATTTTCAGGCAATGTGTAATACAACCTATCCATGTTAAACAAAAGTTATTGAGACAAGACGATAATTCATTCTATGAAATCTACCTTCCATTTCGAGTATGGCCGAATGGCGTCTTCTTTAAAATATACATCTTATTTACATTAACATATCTACTTATTTATTTATTTTTCTTCTTTGTACAATAATAGTATTTTAATATAAAGAAAATCTCATTAACAAGTGTAATATCTCTTCTTATTAAACAAAATAATTTGACAGGATTAAAAATGATTAGAAAATCATTTTTAATCATATTAAAGTATTTGATTTAATCAGGGATAATTAAACATTGTAACAAGGTAGTACGGTTATGAAAGCAATATTTCAAGAAATCCTCGAAACTTTGAATATAAGTCATTAAATACATAATACATATGCTGTTAAAATTTGAAGACGATTTACCACACCAAACTTGAGATAATTGCAATTGAAAATGACATTTTTGTACATGTAACATAGGAGAAGCGTGGGAAAATGACAGTATTTTTAATTTTTTCCATCGAAGGAATTTCAAGACTTTATCAAAAAACTAGTGGATTGAAGAATATGATATTTCGAACAATTAAAAAAAAAAATGAAAATTTTTTACCATGTAGTTTTCGAGATTAATTAAAATCAATTTCACTTTTAGAGGATTATTTTTAGGAGAGGGGGTACGAAAAACAGCCGCTAGTCACTGAAACCGTAGTGTGTGTGTGTGTGTATATGTATAGAGAATATAGTAGTCGACGAGTACAGTAACGTTAAAAAATCTTAACCTACAACCTTAGCTCTGTCGATACGTATAGCATGGATAGCGAGTCAAAATTTTTAAAATTTTTGATCTGGATTGTTGCGGAGGTACTACCTTAACCCGTCAGCACTCACGTGAACTTTTCGGTAATCTTTACTCTCGTGATAAGAGATTTGCTCACGTTTAATCTGCGTGCGACCGGGCAGCTATACAGTTACGAAGGTACACGAACTAGCCCGAACGTTACCGAAAGTAAATTTTTTTTCGTTACACCTATAATCTCGTGATGAGGAGAATGCTCACAATTTCTGACGCGGATGGAAAATGTTTTTTTGAAAAATATATATGATATTAAAGCATTTCAAAAGTTCATAATTTTAAAATAGATAAAATTACTCGAAGATAGAAAAAATTTCATATACCCTTTCCATTTGAAAAAAAAAAAGTTTTCATTGTTTTAAATCGAGCGTGAGCAAAATGCTCATAACGTGAGTGCTGACGGGTTAATTGCTTCTTGAAATTTTTTTCCTGCTCCGTTAAAAGCACTAAAACTTATCAATAATTTCTTTTGATTAAAACGATTGTTGTATGTTGGCCGGGTCAGTACTATATATTATTAAAAATAAATTTTTTTAATTTACAAATATCTCACTGACTAAGAAGAATATCAAGTAATTTTGAAGCTGGGTGGAAATTAATCTAAAAATAATCATAAAACAAGATTAACAATTATTTAAACACAAAATCTTATTTATGTTGAATAAAAATTTCTTGGAAGCTTATATTAACTTTGTTTTGGATTTTTAAAATAAAAAAAAAGGACTTACTTTTAACCAGCATGGTGTTTCTTTAATAGTCTTCGCTGGACAATTAGGACCCCATACTTCACCAAAGCTTACATAAATAGTAAAAAATTCCTTGAAATTATTTTTATCATTCTTAGAGCTGGGATCAGAATCAATACGCATCTTCATTTGCTCGTTAGCTAAACTCAAGCTGAATATTTTGTTGTAAGCATGTGTACAAATTTTTAGGGCACCAGTTTTATTGATTAATATATTTTCTTTGGTAAGAAAATTTGATTCTACAAAAACCTTTTGACTGCAGTTCTGTCGCAACCAAATATCGCCATTCGTTTGCAAGTACATAATGATACCCTGGCCTGGATAAAAATGAAAAAAATTATTTTAAAAAATAAATTTAAATATCAAGTTAATTTAATTTAACTTACCGATATTCTTCTTTATTTGTTCACTAATTTTATTGCGAGACTTGTTAGTAATTGAAGCCAAGCAAAAACTAGTATTATTATTACTCTGATTCATGTAATTATTGACATTTACTTCCAGAGAATTATTTGTTACATGAAATGTCTCACCTACTTGGGTGTTGAATTCATAATATTCTATAGAACACCAATTTTCAAATACTTTGTAGTCACTAAATAGTTCCTTCATAGCTTCTTCATTTTTATTGCTCGTACCTTAAATAGTTATCAAATAATTTAATCAATCTAATTTATAAATAACTTTTTTTTTTATACAAAAAACCTTATTTTATTTTACTGCTATTATAAAACGTACCATTTGATGGAGAATACTGTGAAGTTTTTTGAGTATCATCTTTCGATTGCGATTTTCCGTTTTTACGTACACGGTCAGATTTTCCTGCAATATAAGTTCAAAAATTAAAAATTTACAATAAATATAAAAAAATTCATAATAAAAATTAAATATAACCAATTTTGATGAATTATTGTAGTTGAATTTAAATAAGTAGAACTATACCAGATTGTCTTGGAGTTGAATTTGTCAAATCATCATTTGGACTGTCGTTGACCATTTTGTGATGTTATTTTAAAATATAAAACGGCAAGAAGAAAACTTGTTAAAATAAAAATTTTCTTTAACAGAAAAATATTTGAGCGATCTATCGTTACATCGGTTGTGAAGAAACTGTCTTAATTTGACTAATTACTCCTAATTTCATCCATGTGCTTTTCGAATTGCGCCCTCTTCGTTAGCGAGTAAATTTTGGGACCTATTTACCCTCAGTGCAGAGTGGGGCTTATTATAATAAAATGTGTGATGTACTGCCGAAAATTTTCTACTGTCAAAACGCCATTAAGTCTCAATCTCTGCTCATATAATTTTACATTTGACGTTCAACTTAGTTAATGTTTTTATAATTACTTTTAATGACTTTTTCATGCTAAATATGAGTAATGACAGCAAACTGTTTAACGAGTCTACAAACAATATTACAAAGTAGTTTAAAAAACAAATAAATATTTGTAAACTGCGCTTTGACCGCTCAAACTGTTGAAAAATCATAAAGAGTTTATACACACAGAAACATAGTTACATCCTCAGAGAAATAGTTAAAACTGCCTCCTAGGACAAATAAATTTGTTCAAAAAAATTATTTATAAAAAAATGCATTTTTAATTTTTCTAAATTTTTTACAAGTCAATTTTTTTTTCTAATTATTTTTAATTATAATTTACATGTTAAAAAAATTATTAAATGTTTGAAAAATTAATTTTCATCCTTCAAACATGAAAATTTGATAAGAACTCAATTTTGAAAAATCAATAACTTGATAATTGATAATAATAAAGTTAGCCGACATTTTTAATTTTTTTATTTTGCTTAATTTATTAATTTGTAACTAAAAAATATTTTTAAAAAATTGCACTTATAGCTTTTGAAGTTTTTAACAAATGAAAAAAATTTTTTTGTAATAATTCTTTAATAAAAAAAATCATATAAATTTTTAGATGTCGGCTAACTTTATTTTCATTGATAATTATTGAAAATCATTCATTTTTATAACAAAAAGTCAAAAAAATACACTGAAGTTAACTAACATTAGAAATTTTTTTATAATTTTATAGCAATTAAATTATTATGAAAAAAGTTTAATAAAAAAATTCAAAATGTAAAAATTAAAAGAAATAATTAGTGGAAATTTTTTAAAGAACTTTTTTTTCAAATTATTTGTTTATAAAAATTAAAAAATTTGACAGTTATCAAGTCAAAAATGACCATTTCTTCATTGAATGAATTTAAAAATAGCATCAAAGAATTTAAAAACAAACCTGCAACGCCATCTGCTGCTTAAAAGCATTGAATAATCAAAATATCAGTATCCATGTGTCATTTGGTTATAAAGTATATTTATTATTGAATAATTTTAATAAAAATAAATAAAAAATTATAATGAAACGTATTTTTAGTATTTTTTTACCCCGATTACCTATTAACAGACTAGCATTTATTGGTTTACTAACTACAGAGCCTGATTATGATCAGGTAGTAAAATCCAGTGACGACTTGGATGAAGAACCTAAAACCGGGGTAGATGGACTTCGCCGAGTGTTTTTACCAGGGTATGTAATAGAATGAAATAAAATAATAACTTAAAATTAATCATTTTTATTTTATAGAAAATACGGAGAGCTGTCTGCAGAATTTACAACACTTATTCATATGTCATCTGCCAGCATCTTCTTAGGAGCAGGTTTTGGTGCTCTGAGGCAAGCGCGTACTACTTTTCTTAATTTTATTGAAACTAATGATGCGACCAAGTTTCAAAATCATCTGGAAGCTAAACGTCAATTGCAACACCGGGTTACACTGGCTATGGGTACAGGAGCCGCGAAATGGGGCTACCGAATTGGAATGTTCTCCACTATTTTTTTGTAAGACTGTCAATTACTTACTTTCTTAATTTAAAGGCATGACAGGTTGAAACAAATATGTAATTTATTTCAGAACAACTAGTACAGCAGTAGCTGCGTGGAGAGGGGAAGATGGAGTCCTGGAATACGTTATTGCTGGTATGACCGCTGGTGGACTGTTCAAAGTCAATATGGGAGTCAAAGGATTTATAGCTGGATCGCTAATTGGTGCTTTTGTGGGTTCAATAACTGGATTATTTTTCGATGGACTTTTTTGGATTTCTGGCACATCGATGAAATCATTACAAGAAACCCAGAAAAAAATTGCAGAATTACGTGAAGAGTAAGTTTGATTTTTTTTTTTTTTTAATTTATTGCTATTATATAATTGACATCAGGTTAGTCAGACCAAAGTTGTTGTTTTATGTTGATTTATTTATTTCACTTTCATGCAACATTTCGTTGGTTGTCATCAACTTCTTCAGGCACATCTAAATGGGTACAAGCATATTTCATTATTAATTAATTTAGTTATAAGTTATAATCATAAAATATATTCTGAACAAGTTAGTGATAACCAACGAAACGTTGCACAAAAGTGAAATAAATAAATCAACATAAAACAACAACTTTGGTCTGATTAACCTGATGTCAATTATATTTAATGTACAGTATGGACCTGAGTAACGAACAGAGTTAATTCCTATTTTCTTAAGGGGAAACACCACTCTTAGGGTCGAAAAAAAAGGTGATTTTCGGGAATTTTTTTGACAAGGAATATAAAAGAATTTGGGGATCGGATTTTTTTTATTTTATTAAGGGCATATTAAAGATTATTACTCTAAATTTTTATTAAAAAATATTTAATTATTACAAAGTTATTAACAATCTCGTAGAGCACAAGAGAAAATTTTTCCCTCCTTGGTCGCATCGATAACTCAAAAACGGATCATCTGAAATTAAAACCCAAATTGCTTTCTAATCAGTAAGAATGTGGTTATCGTTGCACGAAACAAAAAAAAACAAAAAAAAAAAAACAGTAAAAATAATGAGAAAATTTTCAATCAGTCGCCATTTTTTTAAAAATTAAAATTTTCAAAATTCCGTACATGCAACGATAACCATATCCTTACTGAATAAGAAGCAATTTGGGTTTTTATTTTTAAATGATCCGTTTTTGAGTTATCGATGCGACTATGGAGGAAGAAATTTTTTCTAGTGCTCTATGAGATTGTTAATAACTTTGTAAAAATTAAATATTTTTTAATAAAAATTTAAGGTAATAAACTTTAATTTATCCTTAATAGAATAAAAAAACCCCAATCCCCAAATTCCTTTATTTTCCCTGTCGAAAAAATTCCCGAAAATCTCCTTTTTTTTCGACCGTCACAGTGGTTCTCCCTTAATTCCAGTCTTTGAAAACATTAAATATGAAATCTATAATTTTGTTAATTATTCAAGATTTATAACTAATTAAACATATTATTTTTAGTGGAATGCGCAAACAAAGAGACGAATATCTTAATAAAGAGTACGGTGAAGTACGAAACATTGTTATTGGCCAAGAAAACAAGAGCGAAGGCACATAAAGAACAGAAAAAAAAAAACTAAATAATCTTAATATAGTTTTTTGTACATACTAGTAATTTGTTAAATTTCATTCATATATTATAATTTATTAAAGAAAAAAAGAAGAAACAAAAAAATCATGTTGGTATACTTTTATTTTGCTAAATTGATAATTTACAAAAAAAATCTGTAAACACATTAAATAATTTCAATTATTGACATACTATTTAAAAACTACTTGTAGGCCATGAAATTATAACTTGACAATTAACTGTCAATAAATTTGTAAAATAACGTTACCTACCTTATTGCATATAATACATAAAAATTTACATAATTATTATTTTTAAATTCATTAAAAAAAGCATTGGAATTAACAATCCTGCTTTTAGAATAGGCCTGATTAAATGCTTAACTAGTAAATAAATTGAATACTATAATGATACTAGTACATATTTAAATTGATTAAATAAATAATAAATTTTAAAATAACAAAATGCACTATAATCTCACGTAGTCAATAGACTAATGTCCCTACCACCCTGTTTGTGATTGCGAAGACAAAAAAAAAAATTCAAAAGAAAAATTACACACGCAATAAAATAATTAATTATGATTCTTCTTGCTTATCTAAGTCCTGGACCTTGGTAATACGTTTGGCACCTCTGCCAGGGGGTCCTTTCGGCTTAGCAAATTTTGGCCGGTGTAAATTGACTTTTGGGTGTAGCTCCTCTTGTAAAAATCCTTCCGTTAATTCCTTTGCATCATCTATCTCTAGCTACACATTCAACAAATTCCAAATAAATTATTCTACGGTATCAATTTAAAATCATAATCATAATAATTAAAATAATAATAATTGTTCATAATCGATATTGAATTAAGACGAAAAAAGGATTCTATTTTTTTCAGGCCTATTCTGTAAGCAATTATCTTATTAATACTATTTACTATTAATTACATACCATTCGATGATTAACCTTTGCCACGTGTGCTTGGAACCTAATAAATAAACATCTAATTTATCTATTACATTTATTTTATTTTATTTATATAAAGAAAAAAAAAATATTTTATTCAACGGTGGATTTTTTGTAATAATGATTTAACACTTGGTGAATTTCAATTGCATAGTATTTTATTATACATATAGCATCATTAATAATTATATTGGCAAGGTATACAATTTTTTTTTTTTTTTTAATTGCAACATTTAAACTGATTCAAAAAAATTTATAATTAGGTAAGTATAATAATTAATTTGATTATAAAGAAAAAAAACTTACAGAATAGGCCGAGGATTAATACAAAATTTTAATAAACAATTTAATCCAAAATTTCATGCATTAATTATATTAATGAACAATATTATAATTAGGAACACAATTTGATATATTTTTGAGCGTTGCTGATTAATATTTAATTAATAATAATAATAATAATAATAATTATAATCGATTGGCCTTTTATTAATAACATTAGCATTATTGTTATTTACTTTAAAGATTAAATTATGGCCAGCAATAAATCAGACTATATTTTTAATAATATTAATTACAACAAATAATTGTTATTTAATAATGATTAGGCCAAAAATTGTTAATATGTTAATTATGATTTTTTATCGACGTTTGATTAATTTTATTTTTTGTTAACAGGAAAGTTTTTAAATTTTTATAAAAATCTACGTGATTTAAAAAAATACATCACGAAAAATATAATGCCTTTCTGTTTTTTTTTTTAATTTGTTCTTTTTTGTTTCTTCTAGATCGACTATTTTTATTTATTATACTGGCGTAAATCTTTATTTGTGGAATAATTTTGTTGATTGATCAATACTTTGTTGAGATTGACATTTATAAATAATTGAAACGGAATTTAAAAAATTATTCTCTCAAATTTTTAGTCAGTGATACTTATTAATCAGTCTTAACATACATAAAAATATGATTTAATTTTTTTTTTATCGCGAATTTATAAATTTTTTAGTCATCATATTGTAAAGCTTTGATTATTAGTTCATTTGAATTTTTTTTTTATAATTATTTATCAATTATAAAAGCACAAAATAATATTATTTTTTTCAATTATTTTGAAAACAAATTATCTTGTACAATAAAAATTATAATTTTGAAATAGACTCACATCGTTGTTTCTATATTTAATCTAATATATTTATATCTATATATTTTCTTCAACTATGTAATTAATATGTTATAATAATGAATATTACGTGGTAGAGAAGTTAGGCGAGTGGCATTTTAATTAATATAATCAGCTAAAGCCTATGGAATTTACCTAACTCTCTAATAATCACAAATGGCCAACTTGCCAAATATACTGTATTTTAATTTATCTGTTTTTAATCAACGATAAATTATTTAAATATAATGCCTGGAGTGAATTTCACGGTCATGTCTTCAGTTTATTTTGTACGTTTAGTTTCACAAATTATTAACCATAGATCATTTCGTTGCTTTTAAAAAATTTTCATAAATATAAATGTAATAAAAATAAAAAATAAAATATTTGTGCTGCCATTTTTTTTGCAACTAAACAATCAATGCTTAAAAAAATTATTTCAATAATCTATATTATTAAGAAAATAAGCACAATTTTGTGGTCAGAGTATTGTAATGGTTAAATTTGGTACTGTTGAAAAAGTCTTGACCTGAAGTTGTGCCTTTTCATGGTTTCATATCATCCTCACCAATAGTTAATTTATAATGATAAGTATTTAGGGTGCATTCGAAAATGCTTTATCTCTAGATACATAATTAACAAATAACTTTGTATCTCGTGAACTATTGACATTTTTAAAGATATAAACTCATCCTGAGCCTACACTCATCGAGAGCTTTCATTTGAGTACCCACATGCATTTTGATATATATTTCATATATACATATATATAAATATATAAAATATATGAAAAATTGATGTGGGTACTCAAATGAAAGGTCTTGATGAGTGTAACATCGGGATGAGCTTATATCTTTAAAAATGTCAAAAGTTCACGATATACAGGGTAATTTCTTAGTTATATTAAATTGCACTGTACTTTCTTAACTATTGACGTTTTTAAAGATATAAGCTCATCCCGATGTTACACTTATCAAGAGCTTTCATTCAAAAATTGATGTGGGTACTCAAATGAAAGGTCTCGATGAGTGTAATGTCAAGGTGAGCTTATATCTTTAAAAATGTCAATAGTTAATAAAGTACAGTGCAATTTAACAAAAATCATTATTTAATAAAGCAAAATTTTATTGATTTATAGTTCATAAATTGCGGCAGTCATAGTGACTGCAAGGTTGCTAGTCTGTATTAAATCTCTAAGAAGTAATGAGTTAATCATATTATTAATTACTGTAGTTAAAAATAAAATCAGTATTTAAGACATGACTTGAAATTCATTTCCGACTAGACGAAATTACGTCTCACTAACATTAATCTCAGAATAAAATGCATCAACTCGCAATATACTATTCACAAAACATAATTTAGAATATTATTACGAAAACAAAAATTTAAAATTAAAACCATAGACATTTATACGCAATAATATATAATAATATATAAATGATAATATTTATTAGCAGTACTTTTATTACGGAATAATTTGATTACCACAGAAAACGTCAAACTTTAATAATATTATTTAATTATAAGCTGCTATTTTATTCGAAAGCGTAAACCTGTTGACGATCATACTTTGTTTCATTAGATTTTTTATTTTTTGTAAGATAATTTAGAAAAATACACGGTTAATCCTACTCTTGCTAAACAAATATACATATCACGTTGGACACTTAGTGATCCATTAGATATTTTTTATAAATTACTTTAAATTTTTTTTTAGTTGAACCTTTGTTTCAATTATCTCATGAGTAAAATTTGTAATCACAAAAACCTATGTGCGTCATAGCTCGTAAAACATAATTAATATAATAATAAACACAAACACAAATCGCATATTTTTTTAAAATACCAAGTATGGAATGTAATAACCAAGTGAGTTGAACCTGTTAACTCAAAACGCATGAACGTTTTTGTTTAGATTTTTTCTCAGTTAAAACCTGCGGAATATTGCTTGTCGGGGTGACCGGGGTCGAGACGATGATTTTTTCTTTTATTGTAGGAGGGTCCTCCAACATGTCTGCTAACTCTTCTCCACTATTTACCTCCAACTGCATTTATAATCCGTTTGCCATTATGGAGCATTATTATTCATTAATTAATTTAAACTTTCGTGCATCAGTTATATGATACAACCGTACATCACATCGTTACATATTACGTAATATACTAATTAAATTAATAATTTCACATGCAACCATTTATCACGTTTATTAATCTCAACGTCATTTCGCTTTTACTATTGTCAATAATTAATGTATTAATTACTGAAGCATTATGTATACTGCTACCAAATTCTACCGTCTTATTTAATGAACTCGAAAGAAACAATTATTGTTCTTAATTAAGCGGTTTAGTGAAAATAATATTAAAACAAATAAAATAATTATTAAATACTGACCTTTTTCGCAATTGTAACACCTAATGACTGGATAAGATCCAGCAATGGAGCCTTGCATGACGAATAAAGCATTCGCTCTTTGATACTGCAACTGTACCCTGGCATACTGTAGATAAAAACTAAAACAGCAATAATAAATAATAATTATAATTAAATTTTAAATTAATAAAAGATTGAAAGGTGTTGATCAATCAGTCAAAAATAGTCGAAAGAAAATTTTAGGTAAATAAAAAAATTAACAATTTAAAAAAAAAGTTGATTATCACAATTTTAACAAATTTTCAAAAAAGTGTCTTAATTTTTTAGAAAATTGTGATATTAAAACTTTTTTTTTAAATTGTTCGTTTTTTTTATGTACTTTTCAAAAAAATATACATCATGTTAAAACATGAGCACCAAAATTTTTTTTCAACTTTTTTTTATCAGTGCATAATTTTCTTAAAATTTATAATTCAAAAATAATGTTGATTAATTTATTAGAGTTGATTTGTTTTTTTTTTTTTTTTTATTAAAATAAAATTGCAAGTGTCAATAACTGGGTCTTTTATCTTAAGTTTTGAATTATTTTTTTGACACCTAAAAAATTCTATCATTAATTATATAGGATTCAGATAAAAATTCGGGTAATTATTTACTAGTGGGGTCAACTCGTGCTAGTCCATGTTACATTTCTTTTTTTTGATCAAATTGATAAATTATTTTTTAAATTGATTGTTTTTTATGTACTTTTCAAAAAAAATACATCAAAAAAGATAAAATAGAAATTTTATCCATAAACATGAGCGCCAAAATGTTTTCCAGCTTTTAAAGGCAAAAAAGCTATCGAAATTTTTATTTTTTTATCACAAACCCGCCGTAAAAACAAGCAGAATAAAAAAAATTTTTTAAATATTATTTTTCATTTAGTTATGGCCCAAGATGGGTTTGACCCTCTTGTAAATAATTACCCAAAATTACGACAGTAAAGTTAGCAGTCACTGAACCATTTTTTAATTTTTTTTAACAAATAGATTTTTTCCAAAAAAATTATTTATAAAAAATTTATTTTTTTTTATTTCTAAATTAAAATTTTTTTTTGCCATAATTTATTTGTTAAAATTATCAAATATCTGCTAAATTAATTTTCGTCCGAAAATTTTATATTGATCTCCACCTAAATAAAATAAAATAAAAAAAAAAAAAATTACCTATTGCTTCAGTGTAATCACCCTCGTGAGTGTGCTTAAAGTTATATAAATGATATCTGGCAGCATCAGCAGGTACCTTGGTAGGTAACTTATCCAAAGAAACGTCACCAGTCATAACTAAATGAATTTTTTCTTCGTCCAAGTCTATTTTCAACTGAACATATTCATGGACTCCTTTTCCCATGTCAGTTATCGCCTGTTTAGCTTCATCAGTTACAGGGAACGCAACACCACTGAGCGTCTGATGTCGCGTTTCAACATTGTAGTCAGTATGTATAGCTGTTTTTTTAAGCTCAACCAGCTCTTCTTCAGCAGAAGTAAGCGGTGCTGGTGCAGCATCATTTTTCTTGTGTCTGTTGTAACCCTCCAGAGTTACGTCTTCCATCACGGTGCCATGCAATTCGTCTTTTATCGAAGCAGTTCCGAATTCCTGCTTCAGGGTGGCTTTCGTCGACGCGTAGAGCATTTTTTGGCGCACTGGTGCATTGTCGGGCGACCAGGAGATAAACAGCCAGTCATAGCCGGAGTCTGGTGACTTGGTGTCAAGCCTAAATAATATGTACGCTGGTTGATTTTCATCGATAAGTGGTTTCACTAATTTATTATAGTCGTCTTGCCATTTTCCGACAGGTTTTGATGATGTAGACGGTGCTAACTCCTCTAGGAATTTTAATTACCAGGTATTAATTAGCTAATTAATTAATTATATATTTATATTATGTATTTATTTTATCTTCATACCATTTTCAATAGATACTTTCAACACTCGAATTTTTCCATCTCGACACTTGGCGAATATTTTTTTCAAAGCGTCATTAGCTGTAATTTATTGAATTATGTTTAATTAAACGGTCAAGTTATTTAACTGTAAGTATTAATTAAAGAGCAAATTTATATGGGCGTGTTTGAGGTTAAATTCTTCGCCTACGTAGCAATGTAAATAAATGTCTATTTTTAAAAATAGTTGTACCTTTTATTCCTGTCTGATGAGACATTATTTATTATATTATTATAGTTGTGCTGTATTTAAATAAAAATATTGATAAAATTTATTCACAACCTCTGATTTAATACCGCCAGGATACAGTAATCAACGAAATAAACCACTTTAACGTAACCAAAACCACCAAGGTTACTGGAATAGGGAGGCTGGGACAAGCCAGTGTTGCTGAAGGCTAGCTGTCCTAATATATACTCGTACATATTATATTCGCTTCCAAATTACTCAACAGATGGCCAACTTTCTTTACCCGAAGTGTACCCTCTCCCGGATAAATTTTTGTCAGCCAATAAAATAATTTCTTTTTCGCGCCAAATTACAAAAGTATGAAAGTATTTTAATAATTCACATTTTATATTTCGAAGAAAATTCATGACACTGAAGTTTGCAGATTTGTAAAAATTTTTCATTTTTTTTATTAATTAAATTACAACTAAAAAGATATTTCTAAAAAATTGCACTTAGAGTTTTTCAAATTTTTTATCAAGTGACTAAGTTTTTTTTTAATGTTTAATTGAAAATTTTTCAATAAAAAATTTCTAAAAATTTTGAAATGTCAGCTAACTTCATTTTCATGAAAATTCACTCTATAAAAATATTTAATTAATTTTTTTAATTTTACAAATAATTAAAATAAACAATTTGTATTCATATAATTAGTCTTTTTAATTAGAATAATTAAAATAAATATTTTTAACATTAGTTATAAAATATATTTATGTTTAATATATTTGGTAAAAATAAGCTCCAATAAATTAAGAGAAAAAAAAATTTTTGGTAAATTTAAATAAACAAAAATTTTAAATTCTTGATAATCTATTTTCGAATTGCCATTCAATAAATAATGTATTAATCATTATAAACTGTAATCCTCACTTTTACCTGTTCTAGAGATGTCTTCAGTAATTTCGAATTTCTTCTTATGAAATGACACGTCGACTAAATAGATGTCAGGTAATTTTATCGCATGAACTATCTTCTCAACTGAAACCTCAAAGATTTAATAAGTTAATTAAAAATTTTCAGTAATAGGCTCATAAATTTTTTTCTTAGAGAATTTTCATTTATTTTCTAAAAGAAAAATCTTTTAAAAACAATAATAGACAAAAATAAATACCATCATATTGTCATAGATTGAAACAATATCTCTGATAATATTTTTAAAATAACTTTTGACCGATCTAGATAACTATGAATCTCTTGATCATATTTGATAATCGAGTAGTAATCGCATAAAAGCTTTTCAAGATTGTATCATGGTAGTTTCTAAGTAAAAAGTAATCAAAAAAAAATTTTTTTTTTTTTTTTTAATTCTTTCAAAATAATGGTCCAGTAGGAATTTTTTTTAATTTTCGTATTTTAAAGTACTTTTATACTTTTTTAATATTTTATTTGAGATTTTATATTTTTTGCGAACTATATAATATAATTTCAGAAATAGTTTATTGTTAAAATGTGTAAAATTCGAAATACGAGTGTTCAATATTTGTGAGTTAATATCAATGCAAACAGTTTTTTAATTTAAATTGTAAAGAAAAGCAAATTTGAGAAATACCTATAAGCTGTATATATATATATGTATATAATTACTTGAAATGTAAGTAAATATTATAAAGTATGTATGTAATGTTGAGAAAGTTATTATTTAGTTGTGTGTGAGACTGTTTATGGGTATTATTTATTTACATTCAAAAAGTTTTAATTGTTTTCTTGAAATTTGGGTTATTAATAAAGTTTCATTGTATAAATGCATACTAAAATAATTATTAAAAAATTATATTTATACTTTAGAGTTTTATATGAGAACTTTGGAGGTATATTTTTTGCTAACTTGCTGTTGAAAACTTTAAATGTTTACAGAACAGAAGTCGAAAATAAATGAATTTACGATGAATTGTATGAAAACAAAAAAAAACGTATTCTTTGCATAGAGTAATAAAAGTTATAGAAAAATAATAAATAATTAAATTCTAATATAATGAAACTCAAATATAAACTTGGATGAATGCAATCAATATAAATTGAGGTATACATTTATAAATATTAATTTCATTTTTTACATGGTTTCGCGGTTGAAAAATTTACAATAAATGCTTTCATTTATTAATTGAATTTTAAATTATGCTACATGAATAAAAAAAAAGCACATTAATACAATTAATAATTAAATTTTCTAGTGTAAATTTCAATAATTATGCGCTCCCATAAAAAAATAACTGGCAAACTTTGTAGGAAGTAATTTTTAAAACTGTAAAAATCAATAGTTAGAATTTTTTAATTTTTAAAACATATTTCTTACAGAGTTTGTAAAAATTTTATTTTAAAACTGTGATTTTTTCAATTTTTTTCTCGGAATACTTAATTAGTAAAATTGCCACTATATATTGTGATTTAACTCTTAATTTTTCCGTAAAGTCTTATTGCAAATAACTATTTGAAGTAGAGTGTACTTTGAGCAATTACATTAAAAAGAGAAATATGTTTTTTTATATAATTAGACTATAAACTTAAAAACAAAGAATTACTGTAATAAAAGCTTATTCTTGTTACTTATTATCAATATTTGTTTGTTCACCTTTACAACAAGTTGCAAAACACTGTATTAGGTAACAGACGGTTATGCCACGTGATTAAAATTTTTTTTTTCAGTTTACGTAATAATATAAATTTCGTCGTCAGATCCAATGGAAATTGTGGATCTGACAGTATTATCAATTATAATTAATAACAGGCCAATTGATGGCCAATTCATTTACAATAATTAAATAATACTGTCAAGCACAAACGATCGACTAAACAATTATATCATTCAGCCAGTTATTATTTTTAGTCAATACTGAATAATGAGCGAAAAATTTTCCGATCGTTATCGATAAAGTTCTTCCTGAAAAAAATTATTAAATGTCAGATTGGCATAATATATATTGTGAATAAAATTTATGACATCTACAACATAAAACATTTACATTAAATTCTTGGAATATTCTACAAGTAAATCGATCACTTTATTATAAGTGCTTTGTGATACCCGTTTTATTATAAATTCATTTACTACCCTAAGGCTTATTACGTAATTCCAGCGTACTAGATTGTGTTGTTGAAACTCGAGAAATCCATTGTACTTCTTGAGAATTGCTTTAAACAAAAGGCTGAAATTCAAACCTTATATTCATATACATGCACTAGATTTATTAAGTTATTTCTTTTTCTGATATAGTTAGCCATTAAATTTTCGTTTAGTTTATTCATTGCTAAATTAATGAAGAAATTTTGAATACTCATAATATTAATCCAATTTTTTGTTAAAATTGACGTTAAATATTTATTTATTATTATCTAGAGATCTTAACTATTAATTCTAATGTGAAGACATAATAGTTCAAGAGAAACTTCTATTTATATTTAATTGAGAAAGTATATGCAGATAAAAAAATAAACTCGACTGAAGAATATCATTTTAGAGAATTTGATCATTTACTTGAGTGAAGTAAAAAAGCTCTTGAGTCAAGTAAAGCTTACCCAAGCCAATAAGAATTTTTTAGTTCAAAATTTTTTTCTTCTTTTTAGATTATTGAACTCTTATAAAATGAGATTAAGATTTTTTCTTCTGAGATTATTGAACTGTTATTCTTTTGTAAAATGAGATTAAGATTCTTTCTCTCGAATCAAGTTAATTTTTTTATCAGTATAAAAATAACAAATAATTATTCTATTTATTGTCTATGAAACTGATTAAATTACTATTAACTTGAATGATTTTACGGGGTTATTCATTTATCTGACGGACGTAAGTCAATAATAATAATTAATACATAATAGATATTCAAAGGCTAAGTATCGGTATCAAAGCATATTATAGGATCAAATTTATATTTCTGCAATAAATTGATGAATATTATCTAAGTCAAAAATGTAACATTGAAAATATCCGTTATTATCCAACAAATATTTAGGTATTATTTTTATTATTTTAACTCATTTGATCATTGGATGTATATGTCTTAATTCAAAATTGTGACATGTCTACTCAAACTTTTCTTACTTACCAACTTCTTGTAGCTTCTTCGTAACTACTTGTAGTTCCTTCAGTTTTAATTAACTCTACGAATGACATCTATAATTAAATTGTATTAATTTCCATATTTCAAAATAATCTAACAGATAATACTGGTAATAACACAGTTAGCAGAGTTATAATTGAAGACAAAAAAGTTTATAAAGTTTAAGAAGAATTAAAACTACTGCTTTCAAAAAATTTTTTTCAAGTAAAATTTTTAATTCTTTTTGTTATATCTCACTTCTAATTATATTTTTAACCCTCTGAGTACACTGGGGGTCATTTTGACCTCAGAATTTTTTTCATTCTAAAATATTTCTCTTCGTTTTTAATTAATTTTTTCAACATTAAAAACTATTTAATTCAGAATAATAATGATTGTATTCAAAAGAGCATTGTTTTACTAATCAAAAATATAATAACCTGAATTCTAATAAAATGCATTAGCTTCTGAGAAATTCTTGGAAAGTCAAGTGCAGTCAATTTGACCTCGTGTGTACTCTAAAGTTCTGTTCGGAGGTGTGTAATCCGAGAGTTAAATCTATTTTGAGACGCGAATAAATGATCTTTCAAAACTTTTAAATCCATGTTTTCATCTCCGCAAGTCGAAGTAAAATTGATGAGGTCTCTTGATCTACTTCTAGGTATTGCTTTAAATTTGAACTGTCACCCTATACTCCCACAAACGCTTCTATTCACCGGTTCACCCGCCTCCTAATTTATATTAGAAAAAAAATTGAACCCCTTCTATTATATAATTCCGTTATGTATTTTATGTGTTACGTGATGAAATTATAACAGATCAACGACCCCGGACAACTATTCGATAACCGATTACGATTACCGAATTAATATTCAATATCTTAAAGTTAATCACTAACTCTAAAATTAATCAATACGGAGTCGTAAGATATCCTTTACCTAATACAGCAAGAAGT